AATAATTTTAAAAATCAACAAACTGTCACACATGAATGAACTTTCCAAGAGGAGTAAACGTGCTATAAGAACTTAACCCTAACGTAGAACATCTTAATCTTTTGTGTATCACCAAAACTCCAGAAATCAGTAAGTGCCCAGATACCTGTGGCCTTCTGGGTATATAATGTTGTACCATTGCATGGTAAGTGAAAAAAGTATGGTTGTAGTCACCCTAATGGAGCAGCCAGGCTTCAAAATAAAATAGCACGATTACGCCCTTTAGCCTTTTAGACTAATTGGTCCTAAGAATCATTTCTGATTAGAGTAACTGATGTGCCTGGAGATCCGGGGCAAGAAAATGTGTCTGTGCTGGCAAGATCGAAGTTAAGGGCGGGCAGGCATGGATGCAGAGGCAGGAGCATGGCTGCCCTGTGCTGCCTCACTGTGGACAGTTACATTCCCTGTTAGAAAGCAGCCTACACCAGAGTCTTGCCCCAGTAATGTAGAACGGAGTCAAAAGCTGCACAGAAAGGTCTAAAGAAATGCTTGTAACTCCAGGGAGTGCACTTGAGCTCTAAGCATTGCTTACCCTTGGATTTAACAACCGGAGCCATCACCAGCGTCACTGCTCAAGGCTTCCTGGCTGTTCCCGGAGGAGGGAGGTTGTCCTGGCTGTGGTTCTCTACTGAGGCACAGGATGGCGGACTGTATTGCACTCTGCATTCCAGAAACAAAAGCTGCTGTGTGAATCAGTGTGTTGCCTCTGTGAGGGCATCAAGAGGAAGGGCCTGTGGGAGGAGTCAGGGCAAGACCATTGCCTATGGCCCTGCGAATGGATTCCAGTGTCTTTGTCCAGGGAATTGTAACTGCTCTTCCACCTCCCTCCATCCCCTTCTACAGAGTCACAGTGTGGCCACCCTCGTTGGACATCTTGTTTCAGAACTCCCTAAGGTCAGATGTTGAGATTAAAGAGGAGGGCTCTGAGCCTCCGAACCCTCCTGGAGGTCAAAGTGTGTAAAGTGCTGTCAGCAAATAACTGGCATATAGTTTTAAGATATACTGAACTCAAATACCGTCAAATCAGAATGAAGTTGGAATTCTTCCTGTTGTGTGTTTCAGATTTAATTAGTCATCCAGTGCTGGCCACCTTCCCTATGCTCCTGGAGCAGCCCGACGTGATGGATGCTCTCAGGGTGGGTACCATGTCCCGTGATGAAACCTGCTGTATCCCAGTAATTCCCAGTCCCCATTTATTGTCTAGCGAACTCAGCCTCGTCTTCCCAAGCATGGTGACTATTACTCCCAGGTACCACCTACCCTGATGCAATGGCATGTAAGATGCCCTAGAGGATGCCGGGAGAGCAAAACTCCAGAGCAGTCAATGTTCAGTCAGCTGAGCTTCAGGAGAGTCAGGGTGTGCATAACATTCTTTAATTGAACTCAGCACACTGTGCTGTCTGAAACAGCAGCTGAATAATAAAGTGGAGAGGTTGAAAATCTCTGATTTTCTGTTAAATTTGAATCCCCAAAGCCGCTGTTTTATGTCTCAACCTGAAGCATTAGGGCCAGCCTTGTGACCATGCAAGGCTCATACACAGACAATATGTAGGTGCCAAGGCCGAGTTTGTTTTGGAAGCCTCAAAGATATAACGAAAGCAGCAAATGATAATCAGAACTCTGCCTCATTAAAGATCCTTAGGTGAGAAGGACCTAACGAAAGGCTGGGGCTTCAGTTTGACCTGCTGACAGGAATGGTGTCACAGGTGTGGAAGGATCAGCAGAAACTTTGAGGCAGATTGAATCCAATTTGGTGTGATATATGTGGAGGGGCCATGGGTGGCCAAGGTCAGAGTCTGCATGTGGAGAATGAGGAAGGCGGGGGTGATGGGCGACCAGGACAGTCCACTGAAGGATGCTTCCTCATGTCCAGGAGGATTGTGGCCTTGTCAGCTGAGAGTGATGTCACGAGACTCAGAGGCGGTCTTACAGAACAGACCCAGAAAGCACAGGCACAGTTTTAATTCATGAGGTAAGCTGTGCCCAGTGTTCTTGGACACAGCTTTCTTGAAGAGCATAGGAGAACTTCCAAAGGGAAGCCATGGTTCAGTTATAATCCCATCTCATGGCACAACAGTGGGCTTTTCTGGTTGAAGACATATTTTCTGGATTTAATATCAGAGGAGCCTGCACAGCAGAGCAAGGCTATTTTCATATTGGAGTCTAGAGACAAAACAACAGGCCCGCAGCAAGCTGAGGATCTTAACCGATACAGGAAGGACTTGGGAGAGGGAGAGGGCCAGGTGTCCTTTGCAAGTAGAGGTCAAGAAAGCAGGCAGGCTTCCCAGTGGAGCGCTGAGAAGCAGCCTGGGGTAGGGTATCTTTAGTTGTTTCTCACTAATGGTAGCCCATCCAGCATGACTCCATCCCATAGTTACCTAGGGATAAAGGCTGGTAAAAGGCTACATCTCTTCTAGAACCATCTGGAATGAGAGGCTTTCTCTTTGCTATCTGCCCACGTAGGAAATGGAAAAGTTTGACCTTGGGATTTACACACCTTTGCCCCAAGTGCCTGATCACTTCTGCTACCATTTCATTGGCCAAAACCAGTCATGTGATCCTCTTAACTTGAAGGGAACTGGGAAAGATGGGCTTCTGTTTGATACCGAAGGAAAGGATTGGGTCTTGGCGAGGTGGCAGTGACCCCCACGCCTGCTTTCTATGCCCACCGAGTCCCTCTGTGTGAAAGCCGCCCTGCTTTCTGTGAACTAAAAGCTAATCAAGTCTTTGCACCTGACTGACAAACAGTTGGCGGGTTTCCAGACTGTGAGTCTACGTTACTCAGTGGTTTCACTTTAAGTCATAGTGTCTTTTAAGATTTACATTTGAGGTATGTGAGTCTCCTGGCTTTTCTTAGCTGAGTTTAGTTTGTGATTCGTGTCCTAATAACAATGACACCTGGTCTGCCATAAAATGCTGTGTCTCTGGAAAGGGTCTCATTCTAGAGGCTGTAGGCTGGGGTGTCACAGTCCCAGGAGGCAGAAATAGCCCTGCCCATACCCAAACTTCATGGTCATCTCATCAGCACATCCTTTCTCCAGGAGATGAAGAGGGGGTCTCTTTCTCAGCACCATGTGACCATAGGCACCTGTCCTACCCACGAGGGGCTGATGCTCTCAGGTTCCCTGTAGAGTTCAGTACTGATAGGTAATTACCTATAAATATACACAAATCAGCCCTGGACAGTCAGCCTGGAGGCTGGGCACATTTTGCCAGCCTTCCAGACTGCCAGGGCCTTGCTTTGCCAAGGTCTTCAGTTCATCCCTATGTGGGTTCCGTTGATCTCTGGATTCTCTGTTTAATGAAGCTCTGTGAAGCCTGTGGACAGGCTGGAGATGTTTACTTGCAAATCGACCTTCTCTCACATCCCACCCCATCACCAGGTGTCAGGCAGAGTCCCTGGCATGGGGTACTAGGCAGGGCTTCCTAGTTTTGTTGCTGTTTCACCTTGGAAGCTCATGACTTCTAGGCCTTGTGTGTGGTTGGCAGGCATTTGCTTTACCCATTCTTTTGGTAAGTTTGTTTTGCCTTATAGTAACCACAGGCTTCTGAGGTGTCCTGTGCCCATGTGCCTGCCTTCCCTGTCAGGCTGGTTCTGAGTTGCTGGCAGTAGTGTTGCCTCTTGTGTGTTAGATTCTGTGCAGCAATTCTGACCCTGCCCATGACCTTAACTACAGGGTGAAGTTACAGAAGGTGCTGCCAGGACTTGTGAGTGGTCTGACTAATTCGGCGTTTCTGTTTCCTTCTTTAGAGTTCATGGGCCGAGAAAGAAAGCACACTAAAACGATCAGAAAAGGTAACGATTTTTCCACTGACTTCGAGACTGATTTTCCATGCATTTTAACAAGGCCTCTGCTTTAGGGAGGCAGCCCTGGGTGTAACCCCTTACTCCGCTAGGCCGTGCAGGTCATTGTGGCTGCACAGACATGGTCTAAGAAAGCAGCATGTTTGCCCTAAACAAGTCAGTCATTTCAGACCTGAGTTTTGCTTAATGAAGTAGCCTCTAAACCAGCCTTGCAGTTAGCTAGCAAATATCCTTTATTTACACACCTGCAGAAACCTGGTCTAGCCAGGCAAGCCTGGCCTTGACCAGTGAGGCGGGATATCACTACCAGAATCCACTAGACAGAAAATTCCACAGGCGTTTTCTGTTTAAAACCAGGTAGTGACTTCAGACAGGCTTTGCAGGGTTCGGTGTCTTTCCCACAACAAGGCTACTGTTGTCAGGGGAAAAGCAGCCTTAGACAGCGTGTGAAAGCTCTGTGTTCCTACGAGCATGCGCTTACAGAAGGAGGCAGTGGCTACATCCGACCCATGTGCCCCTGCCCATGTGCCACATGTGCCCCGGACAGCTATGGGTGTGGCCCCACACAAAACTGTAAATGCTCTTAAAACACTGAGATTTTTTAAATTTTATTTATTATGTATATAGTGTTCTGGGCACCAGATCTCATTATAGATGGGTGTGTGTCATCATGTGGTTGCTGGGAATTGAACTCAGGACCTCCGGAACAGCAGTCAGTTTTTTTAACCTCTGAGCCACCTCTCCAGCCCAGAACACTGAGATTTTCTGTTGAATTTTTTTCATGGTTTTCAAGAGTTAACTTTGCAGACGATGCATTGTGTCCCAATGTCAGAAGGCTGGATACACCTGAAAGTGTTAATTGTTTATAAGAAATATAAGAGGAAAACAAAAGAACAGTAATAAAAAGCTACACCTTGGTCAGGAGTGGGAACTGCAGCCATTATGTTGGTACCTGAGCCTCCACATGACAGGTAGCACTGCACTTACCCAGTCTGCAGTTCTGAACCTTTCTAGAACAGCAGTGAGTGAGTGCCACCCCATCCACTGTGTGCCCGACCCTCCACCCTCCGTGTGAGCAGCGGCTGCGTGTGCGGAGGGTGTGCAGAGCTTCCTGCTCTCAGGCAGTGGGCTCTGAGACCCCCACCTCCCCCGTTGGCTCTGTCTGGGGAGGGTATGGTGCCCTCGGGACTGAGGAGCCCTCATTCCTCCCTAGTAGTCTCCCCTGCTTGGGCCTCTTTTCTCCAGATCCCACAGAATGTTTGCCTCTTCTCTTTGTTTTTTGTTTGTTTGTTTGTTTGTTTGTTTGTTTGTTTTGAGTTAAGTTCTTATTCAGGCCCCTCGCTGGCCTGGATCTTGTTAAGTAGACCTGTTTGACTTAGAACTCAAGGAGATCCACCTGCCTCAGTCTCCCTAGTGCTGGGATTAAAGGCGTGCACCACCGTGCTCAGCCCCACTTCTTTCTGATATTGAGACAGTTATTTCCAGCTAAGTCTGTACATACAACTTGCATTTTGTGTGCATGTGTGTGTGTGTGTGTGTGTCTATGTGTCTGTCAGACTAGAGTCGACTGCAACACTTTGTCTACTTGATGGAACATGTGATGCCCTCAGTGGTGCATAGGAGACACACGCTGGTCTCACAGAGCCACTGCAGAGTTCTTAGGGAGATCCGCTAAGCGCTACTTCGCAGTCAGACTCTCGCTCCCACCGCTCAGAGCCCATTCCCTGCGAGGTCCTCTGTCCTACTTCTTGGTGACTTTTAGCAGACAGCTCACAGGGTTCTGTACTTTGAGAGCAATGACCCCAGTCTCCTCATAGCTCCTCTGTGGTGATGTTTTCCCAGAGAGACCAAGAGCTCCTGAAGGCCGAGTTCCTCCTGGTTTACCATGACTGCGTGCTCCCTCTTCTGCATTCGACACTGCTGCCCCCGTTCAAGTGGGCAGAAGAGGAGACGGAGGCTGCGCGATGGAAAGCCATCGCTGACTTCCTCAAGCAGAGCAGAGAGAACGAGGGCTCCCTGAAGGCTCTGCTGTCACCAGACGGGGTCCACGAACCATTTGACCTTTCAGAGCAGACCTATGACTTCCTGGGGGAAATGAGAAAGAGCTCAGCCTGACAGCAGCCATGGCCCCGCTCCCCACTGGACCCTGGGAGCTCAAACGGCAGAACCAAAAGAAATGGACTGGTTAGAACTTAGGTCATATTCTTTTGTGTACAAATTCTATTTTCAAAGAAATATCTAATAATTTTGTTGTATAAAACAATAAAATACATTTTATAAGGAATGTTGTTATATCTAAGTTTAAATTTTTTTCAAAACACCAACCAAAGTGTCAAACTGAAGGTACAGGTGTCTACAACAGCACAGCTTTTTATCAAAGGCAAAATTTGTGATTATCCAAGAAAGTGACAATATAATCCACCAACTGGAAGGAGATATTTCTAAGACATAAGACTGATACAAGCTTAGTGTGCAAGGGCGGGGCTCGGCGGTAGAGTGCTGTCTCGTGCTTCTCGGGCCCTGGGCTCCAGCCCCAGTATTGCAAAGACAAGCAGTCTACTATGCAGATTATATGAACTTTGGGCTATTATTGATTATATTATAGGTTCATTTGAGAAATTGTGTTGTTAGGTATTTAATTCAGCCTAACGTTTGGATTGATTTAACCCAGATAAGAACAAATGCAATCATTGTCTTTTCAAGTCAGTATAAAAAGTCTTCTGTCAAAAAAAAAAATATTTTACCCACATTGAAGTGGGGTGCTTACATGGATTCATGGAACATCCAGGTCTTCGTGCATCTCAGAGAAGCTCACGACTACTGCAAAATATCTCAAACCTTTATCATTAACAATATTAGCACCCGCCATTCCTCAGGTGCCTGGCTGTGCTGCCAGGTAGCCTGGTTAAGAGTGAAGTACCAGTGGCCATTCCCGAGTACCTGATGTGTCTGTCGGTACACTGTGGTAGCTAGGATGCAGGTTCCGATCATCACCATTGAAGAGACGGACCAGGCAGGTTATATGACTCGCATAAGGTCAGAGCCAGTCAGCGGCATAGCTGATATGCTGTGTATCATGTCTGCTGCCTCAGAGGCTCCACCTCATCATGCAAACATGAGAATTACATATGCACACAAGCAGTACTTACTACTGCCAGTCTGCTGCCCCATGGCAGAATATTTTTTAAAAGAAAAAAATGTGCAAATAAAATTGAAGAAAGGTATTTGAACAAAAATATGGACCAATGGAGAAGAGGTCAACCTCAACCGTTAGAGTCCCTGAAATACATGTTTAACAGTGTATTGACTGATAAAAGACCTTTATTATTAGAAATTTGTCATATTTATGACACTTGTGAGCTATTCCAACTTCCACTAGGCCCAAGCTCTTAAAGGTCCCTTTTTGACATTGCCATCCTGAGACTAAGCTTACAACCTGTGGAATCTAGGCGGACATAGACATACTTAAATTATATCCAAACCACAATGGTCCTTGATCTCAGAAATTAACATGGTTTAGCAGGATTCCTGGCCCAAAACAGGACGGGCAAGTGGGAACTTGGCCTTGAAAAGAAGCCTTTGCTCTGCCACTGTGTGAGCCCCTTTCCGCCCTCAGTGACTGGCAAGGGCATACTGGGCTTTTGCTTTTGGGCCACCAACCAGCTCCCAATTCATGATGGGGAGACTTGTTAGTTATAAATGCTGGCCTTGCTTAGGCTTGCTTCTTGTTAGCTCTTATAACTTAACCTCTTCATCTACATTTTGCTTGGGGCTTTCACCTTTCTTTCTGTATGTCCTACTCTGTGTCTGCTGGCGGTTGCCTGACTGGCTCCGGGCATTTTCCTAATTCTCTCCTCTCTTCTTCTCTCATTCTTAGATTTCTCCTCCTACTTATTCTCTCTGCCCACCAACCCCGCCTAGCCCTCTCCTGCCTAGCTACTGGCCATTCAGCTTTTTATTAGACCAATCAGGTGCCTTCGGCAGGCAAGGTAAAACAAATGCAACACATCTTTACATAATTAAAACAAACACAATACAAAGTACTTACATTGTTAAACAGATGCAACACAACTTGTACCCAGTTAAAGTCCTGTTCCACAACATAAGGGGCCATTGAGGACACCCTTTCTGTCCATCACTCTAAGGCACACTTCCTAGATGACTCCTCTCCTCCTCAGGGTCTCTCCAGACGCTGTTTCCGGGGATCCTGCCTAGTCAGATGTGTACAGGGACTCCAGAGCCTCTGTCCTACCCAGCCCTTGAGTTGCCCCTCCCCCCCAGTCTCCTGGGGGCCTGTCTTTAAAGGAACTTAAGACCAAGTCACCACCATGCCCCCTGTGAAGTCAGGTATTTCTGTAGAATCCATGTTTTTGTTTTAACTGTTGGCTTGTTCTGGGCCTGGGCCTGGGCATTCGGGATGAAAATGAATGCCGGCGAGTTCCTTTCAATGGATGCAGGCCAGGAGGACCCGCTTTCAGAGCTCTCGGGCCGTCTTCCCTGCTCATTTGAAACCTGTGGACAGTTTCAGAGTTTTTGACACGTGAGGAAAGTACAGAGACAGCCACAGACAGTTTGGGTGGCGCTGAGTCAGAAGAGGAGGGATATGGCCAGACAGCCTGAATAGAGGGGACAGCGCCGTGGGGTGATGTGGCCCTCCCCGTGAGAAACTCCTCCTTTTCTGTCAGTGGAATCTTGTTTTTTTTCAGCAAAACCTCTCTGACTTTTTAAATGCCACTTTTTAGCCTCCAAAACAGGAAAGGGTTGTCAAGGAGCCAAAAACATCCTGGAAACAGTCCCGGGGCATGAGTGTTGAGAGGTAAGGCTCAGCCTGTAGGGGAGAGGAGTGGTAGGAGAAGGCAGGCCAGCACAAGCCTTCTGCACAGGGGCCTCCCTGGAAGGTGAGGAGGCCCCTGACATCAGATGCATAGAAACTAAACCATGAGGCCCATTCTTCCTTAGACTCAGACTCCTAGCCTCTTTATTATGGCCTTAACAGTCAATGTGTGTCTGTGTGTGCGTGCGTGTGCGCATGTGCGCATGTGCATTTGTGTGTGTGTGTGTGTGTGTGTGTGTGTGTGTGTGTGTGTGTGATGCTCAGAGGATATTCTCAAATTTCAGTCCTAGACCACCTCATTTGGGAAGGGTCTCTTGCTTTCTGCTGTGTGTACCAGGCTAGCTGATCTATCATCTTCCTGGAATTCTCCTGCCTCTGCTTCCCAACTCAATGTAGGAGTGCTGGGATTACAGGTGCATAGTGCATCAGATGTATGTGGGTTCTGGGGATCCGAACCCAGGTCCTCACACTTATACAGCAAGCACTTTACCCCTTGAGCTGTTTTCTTAGCCCCTCTGGCCACTGCTTGAGTGTTTTGTCATCAGGTCTGCTGGAGGTCCCCATGCCTGGGTGCTGGAGATGACCCTAAAGGGTAGGGAGTCTCAGGCTTTGGTGACTCCATGGTGTTGTCTGCTTCTGTGGAGTCTCCAGAGTCTATAGCATCCCTATGAACAGGGCAACTAGCCTGCCCATCCCAGGAGCATCTTGGAAAGCCGTCATCTCAACAAAGGACTAAGGAGGCAGAGGTGTCATTTGTGAGGGGAGGGCTTCGTCAGTCTGTAGTGTGCTAGGATACCGTGTGCAGGGCGCCCACACTTCCTCTTGGGGACAGCATTCCCAAGTCAGCGGAGTTCTCTGGCAGAGACAATCATCAGACCCCATTGTCAGCTCACTGCTGTGTATTCTCTTTCCTCGATACCAAGAAGTGGGGACAGAACCCTACTTCCTTAGGTGCCTGCACATCTGAGGGCCGTCATTGTGTACTCTCTCATTCATTCAAAGTGGTGCTGGGGCAACTACTATCCTACCAAGATGAGCGCTGTTCCTGTCCTATCTTACAGCATGTTCACAAATGACCTGTAAGCACATAAAACAACCTCAGAAGGGAGGGTAATGATGCCTGTGAGGTCCTACAATGGTGTCTCATTTTTGTGACATTTAAAATCTAACAGTTCAGGTTGTGGCCATAGCTGAGCTACTACACAAACACAAGGCCTTGAATTCAGTGCTCATATTAAAAAGTGCCAAGTGCAGTAACAGCATGGACTAGAGAGGCAGGGGCAGGCAACTTCCTCCAGGGCTCACAGGCAGGCCAATCAGGTAGGCAGCTTCCTCCAGGGCTCACTGGCAGGCCAATCAGGCAGGTGGCTTCCTCCAGCTCACTGGCAGGCCAATCTAACTCACTTGGTGAGCTCCAGGTCGGTGAAAGACCGTCTCTGAAAACAAGGTAGATAACACCCGAGGAAGCCCTCCAGGCTCTGTGTATACCTGTATACACCTGCACAGCCAATCAATTCCAATAGTTCTCTAACTCACACATTAATGGCCTCATGGCAGCACAGTCAGCAATATATGTACAATACAGATTCCTGTCGGGATGCTCCCTTTCCAAAACACTACCTGACCTTGGGGCCATCTCAGCTCCAACATCCACATTCCAAAACTGTAGCTACAAATATTCTCTGTCCCACTGGTCCCCTGGACTGGCTTTTCTCTGCCCACGTGTTCCCAAAGAAGCTTTTGAAATAATCACTCTGAGGCTTAATATTAATTACATATGCTTTGACCAATTAGCTCAGGTTTCTTATTAAATAACTCTTACATTTTTATGATTTTATTTTTTATCACGAGGCTTGTGGTTCATTACCTCTTGTTCTTGGGCGGCTACATGAAGTCTTCCTGAGTCCACCTTCTTTCTCCCAACATTCAGTTTAGTTTTCCTTCCTAGCTATATTCTGCCCTGCCATAGGCCAAAGCAGTTTCTTTATTTACCAATGGAAATAAAGCATATTCACAGCATACAGAGGGGATTCCCACATCACCCCTTTTCTGTCTAAATAAAAAGGAAGGTTTTAACTTTAACATATAGTAAAATTACATATACAAAACAGGTGTCAAGCAAGAATTACAGAATTACAGTTACAATATTTCTGTGAGTCTAAAGTTTCATATCTAACTTACCTCTTATCATAACTAAGGAAAACTATAACTATCTGTCTTCAACCCCATCAAAGACCCAGAAAGATATAATATTACCTAAGTAAATAGGAAGCACATTGTAAGCAACTTCCTAGGCTCTAGAAATGACAGAGAAACCTTGCTACCTGGACAGTCACCCAAAGTTCTTCAAAAAACTGTTTGGGGACCACATACGTCACTATCTGTCGAAATCCAGCCAAGCTCCTGGTATCCAGCACAGTGATGGCATCAGCTTGGGGAGGGAGGAATAA